AGGCTGGGCAGGGAGAGAGGCCATACCGTACTTCACAGAGAAAGGAGGGAACCTGGACAACATGTCAAACTGCCCCGTCTCTGATGCAGAGAGGACTCCCAGGTGGGAGATGAGTTGGCTGACCTCCAGGGAAGTGCCCACATTTACTATCTTGACTTTAGACCCAGCAGACCTGGTACTAAATTCTGAACCCAACACTTCCCAGCTGTGACCTTGGGTGAGGCACTTTTCTTCTCTGGGCCTCAGTTTTCTCACCTGTAAAATGGAACAAAAGCAGCACCTGCCCTCAAGATGGTGATGAGGTGCAATGGCATGACAGATATGGTGCCCAGTGTGTGGTGCGGGCTCAGCTGATCCTCCCGTTACTGCTGATGACTGGCCTGCGCCCCTCTGCCTGCTTTGCTACTTAATACAAAGGATAACGGCTCAGAGTCATCACTCAGCTCCTTCTGCCCCACAGGAGGGATACAGGTGTGCTGACCGGGGCTGCTCCAGTCTGTCTTTATCTGTAGTCATCAGACCTACAGTAACTACATCCACAGCCTGGCACCCCAGTGGACTCGCATCTCACTTTCAACTTAGTGTGGATCATCATTTAGTTGTTACCCTACTTATAGGCAATTTCTGGAAAGCAGGTGACCTCTCCAGGTTAGCAACAGAAAATAAATGCAGAGGCTGGGTGCAGTGGCTCATGCCTGTAATCCCAAGACTTTGGGAGGCTGAGGTGAGCGGTTCACTTGAGGTCAGGAGTTCGATACCAGCCTGGCTAACATGGCAAAATCCCATCTCTACTAAAAATACAGAAAAATTAGCTGGGCGTAGTGGCGCATGACTATAATCCCAGTTACTCAAGAGGCTGAGGCAGACAATCACTTGAACCTGGGAGGCAAAGGCTGCAGTGAGCTGAGATCGCACCAGGCACTCCAGCATGGAGCATGGGTGGCAGAGCGAGACTCCATATCACAAACAAACAAAGAGAAAAGAAATGAAGAAAGGACACATGGGAAGCAAGCAGCATGGCCGAGATCAGAAGGCGCCTTCGGACGGCAGAGTTGCGTCTTTCCTCCACATTCCACTCTCCTAACAGAGGAGCTGTGGGGACCATGGGCAAGCAGAGAGCAGAGACCTCCTCCCTGGGCACCCGCGGGATACACACGCACCTCGGCTCTGGCCTCCGGTGGCCTCTTTTTCCCAGCTGGCATTCCTTGCTCTTGGCCTACACCCTTGCCGTCTCTTTCCTGCAGGGCTGGGGTGGTGGAGGAACCCTCTTCCTCGGCCTCGCTCCCTTCCTCACAGTGCACGGCTTCATCTTCACTTTCCTCTTCCTCTGAGGAAGAGGATGACCCGGCCTTCACCATCTTGGACTTCAGGTAGTCCATGTCCGACAGCTCCTTCTGCACAGCTGCCTTCCGTTCGAGGTTTGCCTCTTCTGGAAAAACAGGGAGGCTAGGATCAGTGATAGCTATGAGTAAACCGGAGTTTGGAGGCAGCAAATGGCAGATGGTCCTCCTAGTGGGAGGCCTGAGGCACCACACCCACCCCATCCATGGCCCCTGTGGCCAGCATCCCGCATAAGTGCTCTGATTAGCAATGCCAAATGGGGTGAGGCTACCGCAGCTTTGATATTCTCTGTGTCACACATTGTGAAACCCAGGCTCCTCATCAGGGCTGGCCGTGCGGGCTTCTTCCACTGTCGCCTCCTGCTCCTGCCAACCCCACCCACCTCGCGTCCTTCAAGCCCACACACGTCCCTTTCCTCTGTCTTTGCGGTGCTGTTCCCTTGCCTGGAACCCCTTTTCTCTCCCCTCCCCTCCTGTGGCCCACTAAGTCTCCTGAGTTCCTCAGATGGGAACTTAGCGCAGCAGAAATGTTACCAGGCGTAATTGCACTAAATGCACATCCTCTCACCTTTACACCCAAATCAACTCCCAACTTTCCAGCTGTATCGTCCTGTGTTGCAATTGCTCCCTTGCCCACCACAAACCCCTTCGGAGAATAAAGGCTCAGTCCCTCACCTTCCCTGCTAACTCTCCTGTCCCCCTTTCCTGCGTTCTCTCTGTAGCATGCATCATCCTATCATACACCCAACAGTGGACTTATATTTTATTGTTTCTCTCCCCAACCATAATCGCAGCTCCACGGGGCAGAGACTCTTCCGTCTTTTGCTTATCAACATAAGCCCAATGCCTGAAGCATGGCTGGCAGATAGTAGGTGCTCAAGAAGTATTTGTTGAGTGAGTGACTGACTGCATAGCTAGGATCAGTGAAGGCAGATGTACCTGCTGAGGGATCATCACCCCACTGGAGAGCTTGAGGGCTCACCTGACTCCTAGCATCTGGCACAGAGGGGCCCCTAGTGCCCGCTAGCCCAGTGGCAAGCACAGGCCCGTGCACATGGAGCACACCATCCACAGGCCCTCACCTTCCAGGTCCTCCCCGGCTCCTTCCTCCTCAGTCTCCTGCCCGGAATCGGAGTCGAAGTTCAGGTAGTCGCTGGCCGGCTTGCTCTTCTCTCTCGATGGCTCAGCATCCAGGCCATCGTTCGCCCAAGTGGCTGCCTGCGCCCGCCTCTGATGAACCGACAGAAACTCCTGGAATTCTGTATCCTCCTTCAGCTGGTGGCACCGGAACCCGGGCAGCAGTGACACAGGAAAAAGGGAGAAGAGGCAGAGAAGGCTCAGGTGGGGCTTGATGTTTCTGACTCTTAAGAGGGTGAGAAGATTCCGCAAGCTCACTTCCCCCATTCTCCAGCGGACCCTGAGGTTCAGCACAGTCAGTTCTGAGGAAGGCAGAGCTGACTCCTCACCAGACAAAACTAAGAGGCCATGGAGACAAGGCCAGGGGAGACCAGAGGCACAGCTCTTTGCTCACCAGGGCTGGCCTCCACCCTCTCCAGCCTCTACTCCCTCCAACCTCCTCCCTCTCCTGCCTCTTCCCTCTCCCAGCCTCCACCTCCTCTAGCCTCTTCCCTCTCCCAGCCTCCTCCCTCTCCAGCCTCTTCCCTCTCCCAGCCTCCACCTCCTCTAGCCTCTTCCCTCTCCCAGCCTCCTCCCTCTCCAGCCTCTTCCCTCTCCCAGCCTCCATCCCCCAGCCTCTTTCCTCTCCAGCCTCTACCCTTTCCCAGTCTCTACCCTCTCCAGCCTCCTCCCTCTCCCAGACTCCATCCTCTCCAGCCTCCACCCTCTCCTTAGCCCCTACCCTCTCCATCCTCCACCCTCTCCCAGCCTCTACCCTCTCCAGCCTCCACCCTCTCCAGCCTCTTCCCTTTCCCAGCCCCACCCTCTTTCACCTGCTGCCCTCCCTCCTTCCTGGGCAAGAGGACAGACTCTCACCTTCTCCAATTGACCTGCCACCTTTTTCTTTTTCTCGTCCTGAAAACAGAAGGCATAAAGGGTGAGGGTCACACAGATGAAGGGAGCTAGGAAACAGAAATGCATTGCTCGGGGAAGGCCCATCTTTGGGAACCAAAGGGAGTGGCTACCCTGATGGAACTGGGGACAGGGGCTAGAGTGATCCTTTACATACTTTCTTAATTTCTGGAGTAGCAGAGTCTTTTGGAGGCTGCGTGGGCTGGCTTGGTTTCTGGGCATGTTTGCTCCAGGCTCTGGGTTTTGTCGGGTCCCCGAACGACTTGCAGAACTCCACCTGTGTGGGAAAGAGTGATTTTAGCACCTGCCACGGCACCCAGGTTGGGTGCTGTCCTTCAGCACCTGGGAGCTTGGGCATTTGAGACAACTGGCACTTCCTAGCTGAGTTTGCTGAAGTAGATTACACCTCACCGCTTAGCCTGGGCTTCCTTCTCCTTCAAGTCTAGAATGTAACACTTTAATGGTCTATCACTATGAGTAATACCGTAAAGACAATAACTGCCACTTACTGAGGAATTCCACATGCCAGGTGCTGTCTAAAGTGCTGTGCAAGTACCGACACACTGAGGCCTCTCACATCAGTGACAGCCAGGACTTTCTACAATTCAGACCAAGAATTTGAAGCACCAGGAAGTCAATTGCCCTGGGTTACCCAGGTAGTAAGTGACAGAGTGAAGACTGGAACTCGGAGAGTCTCTGGGCTCTGCAAGCTGAGTTCCTAACCATCCACTCTACAGGGCGGCATGAGGATGGCATGAGATGACTTCGGCCAAGCACTCAACCAGGGTCTGGGCAAGGCAACGTGCAGCAGCAGCTACCAGGGTTACCCCACACTGCCCTGGGGTAATTATCATAAGGTGAGCTCATCAGGCTCCAGAGAACAATTCGAGAGTGATAGGGACAATGGGGTAACCAGTGGAGGCATGGAAGAAGAATGGAGACCCGGCCTGAGCCGATGATGCCCTGTTCCAGCCCCAAAACCTCCAATACGCTCCTCTGAAAAGGCTTTGAAAGCGCTGGTTATTGGGGCATCCGTCGCCGCAAGCCACTCCCAGCCACAGTTAACCACTGCCCCCAAGGGAAGGAGCTGCCAGCTGGTTGCAACCTATTTTGTTTTTAAGACAGAGGATCTCATTGCATTATGCAGGCTGTACTGCAGTGGCATGATCATGGCTGACTGCAGCCTCAAACTCCTGGGCTCAGGTGATCCTCTTGTCTCAGCCTTCTGAAGAGCTAGGATTCCAGGCACAAGTCACCATGACTGGCTAATTTTTTTATTTTTGTAAAGACATGGTTTCGCTCTGTTGCACAGGCTGGTCTTGAATTTCTGGCCTCAAGTGATCCTCCCATCTCAGCCTCCCAAAGCGCTGGTGTCACAGGCACGAACCAGCACACCTGGCCGGTTACAATCTCTTGTGCACACTTTCGAAATAGGCTTGTTATTTCTGTAAGAATGACATGTGCTCGTGGTACAAAATTCGAATACTATACAAAAGTACAAAGTCAAAAAAACTGTACTCCAATGCCTATTAGTTATAGAAAGGAATGATTAGTATTTTGGTACAAATCCTATCTTATGGCCTTTTATGCATTTATCATACATGTATGGATGGAGAAATATGATTGTGTCTACATGGGATCACACCAGACATACATGGATTTGTCCATCATGTTTTTTCCTTCTCAACAAAGCATTAGAGATATTTTGACAAAGTCACTAAATACACACGAGTGGCCTGAGTGGAGCCCCCTCCTCCAGGAAGCTTTCCTGACTCCTCCCTGGCCAGGCTAGAGAGCTTTGTTCTCCCACGGTCCCTGGGGCTCACCCTATCACAGCATGGATGACACTCAGCCAAAGTGGCGTGCTGACCTGTCAGCCCCCCTGCCTGCCCAGAGGTAGCTGGCTCCAGGAGGACAGGGGCTGAGGCATCACCTTTTTCTCTAAATTCCCTGCAGCATTAAGTGCTTGCTAAAGGCAGGAGTGAATGAATGAGGTACAGCTGTGGCTCTCAAGTGTGGGCCTCAGACCAGCAGCATGGGCATCATCTGAGAGCTTGCTGGATGTGTGGATTCCTGGGTTCTGCCTCCATGCACTGAATCAGATTCTCTGGGGACGGCCCCAGGAAACTGTTATAACAAGCTCTCCGGTGGTTCTCATGCACATGAAAGTAGGTGAATCAGTGAGAAAGAAGACCAAAGACATCACAAAGTGAAGGGGACAGTCTTTGAACTCAAGGGTTGAGTGAAAGATCAAACAACGTCCCATTCCACAGGCAGGTAAGGGTGAGACTCCCGCCCACTCACTGTGATCCGGGATGTGTCAATAAAGCTCTTGTTAAAGTGCTTCAGTGCCTTTTGGGCCTCTTCCTCCGTCTTGAAGCCGATAAAGCCAAACTTGCGGAACTTGCCATCTTTGGTGAACTTTAGGCTGCAGTCCGTCAGCATGCCGAAGGCGGCAAACAGCTGCCTGAAACGCTCCTCCTTCATCTAGGACAGAGAGGAATGAGAGATGAACTGGAAAGTCCCCAGAGCACGGGGACAAAATGGGCTGGAAACCTGAGGCCACGAGATTCTCTAAGGGAGGCCTTAGATGAAGAGGGGCAGAGTGTGCTTTTCTAGTTAGAAACAGGTTCCAGCTCTGACTCTAGCGGGCTGTGTGGCCTTGAAAAAGTCCTTTAAACACTCACTGATGTGGAAATCAAAACTCATATGGCTGCAAATGACATCTTCCTACTCTATGAGGCTCCCATAAGACCAATTATAGAAGCAGTGTTATGTCTTCTACATAGTAGATACCTAATAGATACCTGTCGGAATAGGCGAACGAATGAACAGACATGGTAAGCTATATAAACCTTTGCTAATGAAGCCCCCCAAAAGATGCCCACATCCGGATCCCTGGAACCTGTGGACATGTTACCTTACATGGCAAAAGAGACTTGGCGGGTATGACGGATGTGGAGACAGAGAGATGAACTGGGTTATGCAGCCAGGTCTAATGTCACCTCAAGGGTCCTTATGAGAGGGAAGCAGGAAGGTCAGAGAAGATGGAAACACAGAGAGACTGGAAGATGCTGTGCTATTGGCTCCAAAGATGTAGTACACAGCTATCAGCCAAGGGAAGGCAGGTGTCTCTAGAAGGTGAAAAAAGGCAAAGGGACAGATACTCCCACAGAGCCTCCAGGAGGACTGCAGACCTCCCAAAGGCTTGATTTTAGGATTTCTGACCTGCAAAACTGTAAGGTAATACATTTGGATTGTTTAAGCCACTAAGTTTGTGCTAATTTGCTATAGCTGCACTAAAAAACTAACATGCTAATATTATTATAATTAGGTCAAGAAGCCCCGTACTGTGAAAACAGGCTCCTGGCTTCTTGCCGTCTTCACTGCAGCCAGGCTACCCTCACACCTCAGTTTTCTAAGCAGATACTGGGTGATTTGTGTGTGGTCGTGGAGTTGCCCCACAAACAGCCAAAACAAATTTAAAAATGCAAGAAGCTAGAGGCCTTAGCAGTCCAGCCAGAAGACATTTTCTGAGGTAGCTTCTTACTAACTGATCTCATCAAAACTGTGAGTTAGGAATTTTTATCCACATTTTATAGAGGAGAAAATGAAACTCATAAGGGATGAATGATCTGCCCAGGGCCTACAGGATCCAGGTTTGTGACTCAATTTAGAAATATAAAAGACAGTGAATTCAAGTCCTCAGTGCCTGGGAGAGACCTGACTCAAGTCTGAATCCATCATTCCTTTGCCAAAAACCTTTTGGTGACTTTCTCGTACCCGAGTCTCAAGGACAAGCACCTAAAGGAAAACATGCGACTCTTCAAGATCTGCCCCTCACCAACCCCTTCAGCACCACATCTTGTCAAAGTCCTCACAGCCTTCTTACCTCTGAGGTTTTGGTTGTCCCCTGTGGCTGACATTTCCCAAGATAGGCCCTGGCTAACTCCTCATTCTCAGTTCAACCATCTCCTACTCCAAGAGGCCTTTCCCAGATGCCTTAGATGAGCAAGGCAAGCAACCTCGCTGTGCTCCCACAGCACCCAGTTCATACGTCAAACCCTGCACCACGCGCCATAACGATCTGGCGCCTGTCTTTTCCACTAGCCTTCAAGTCCCATCAAAAATAAGGACCCAGATTTATCCACCACTATCTACAGTGCTGGCAATATGACAAGTACTCACTACTAAATATTTGTTGAAAAAATAATTAAGACCAGTGCAGGCAATCACGCTAAGAGACAGTCAGGTGTTGCAGTGAGGAATGCAAATTGTAGAAAAAGACTGCTCAATTCAATAACTGCTCTATAAATTACACCAGTGTGACCTCAGGCAAATCCCTGTACCTCGCTGTACCTTGGTTTCTTTACCTTTAAAATGGGTGTAAAAATAAAACTTTCCTCACGGGGATATGGTGAAGATTGAATGAGTTGCTTTACCTAAAGCACCTGGCACACAGTAAACTCTCAAAGTATCAGCTGCAATTGCCCTTGTTTTGTAATTCTTTCATTCATGAGATAAGACAAACAGTGACAAGAGAGTCAACTATACCATGAAGCACAACAAAGCTGAATTTGGGAGGGAAAGGAAGTGCAGCGAGACTAAAAATCCTCATTCCAGAAATCAAGGCATCAAGACACACTGCCTAACCTGATGGACGGAGCAGTAATAGGTATTTTTAAGTATACTACTCAGAGAGGATGACAGGATAATTAAAAACAAGAACATTACAGACGCTGAAGGGAGGAACAGATAATCTAAATTCCTCATTTTTCATAGTCAATGTCTAGCAAATAGTCACCGGGGCAGGCAGGTGAAAAGGAGGAGAGCACACTCCTTGAATACACAGAGATACATGTGGGGGAGTCCTAAACACAAATCAATGAAGACGGTTTCTCATGGACAGAGAGGGAAGGTAGGACGGAGCAGACTTTGCTACTCATGTTACACACTACTATAGTGTTTGAATTTTGAAAACTCTGTGTCACAAGTCTTTCCCACCTGACAAAGAAGAAAAGAAAAAAAAGGAAAGGAAAAAACCCCACAACATTAAAACTGAAATAGGGGTCAGGGGCGGTGGCTCACACCTGTAATCCCCGCAATTTGGGAAGCCAAGGCAGGCTGATCACCTGAGGTCAGGAGTTTCAAACCAGCCTGGCCAACATGTGAAACCGCATGCCTCTAATAAAATACAAAAATTAGTCGGGCGTGGTGGTGCGTGCCTGTAGTCCCAGCTACTCGGGAGGTTGAGGCAGGAGAATTGCTTGAACCTGGGAGGCGGAGGTTGCAATGAGCCGGGATTGCCGAGACCGCTACTGCACTCCAGCCTGGGCGACAGAGTAAGACTATGTCTTAAAGAAAAAACAACAACAGCAACAAAAAACAAAAAACAAACAAACAAAAAACCACGCGCGCGAGAAAAAAGGATGATCCATTCGAGTCCACTGAATCTAATCATCTATTATCACGTGCATTCACCTATTTTGCCTACCATGCGCCCGCTTCTGTGCTTGGCTCTAGGGAAACAAAAAAGCACAGCTGGGTCACCACTCCCCACTTACTGGATAAATGCTGTAAAGCCCCTTTACCCACTCAGTATTCCCACCTGCCCTAAGGATGGAAGTGGGAATTGGAAAGAAGGTACGCAGATTAATACTCCTCATGTCTTACCCAACAGTCTCCTGACTGGAAGAGGAATATAAATACAATGTCGGACCATGTCCCAGGTCAACAACTAAAAAACAGTGATCGAATGAAGGGGGTTGTGGGAGCAGGGCATTCGCCACAAGGTGGGAGTTGTCACCTCCCTAGGAAGAGTTGGGTTAGGAGTCAGGTAGCAAACAACCGGCTGTGAAATCGTAAGCAATCACTATTCCTCTTTCTCAGGTATCAAATGCGGATAATCCTGCCCCCTTTGAGTTCAGAACTCGCCCGGAGTCCTGCCCCAAAATTCTTCGATTCTCTCCAGGCATCTCTTTCCTCCCACACAGTTCCCGGATGGTCTCATTTCAGATTCCCAAGTCCTGCCTCTGCACTCACCCCATTTGGGAGGTTCTTCACAATCAGTCGCGACATGGCGCAGGGTCCCCACTGTTTTGATTCCAACACGACTGGACGGTGCTTCCACCAACAACTTTCACGCTACCGCCCTGGGCGCCGCCATCATTGCCCAGCCGGAACACAGTCATGTGGCTGAGACCTCGGCCAGCCCCGTCCGGAAGTAGGCGTGGTTAAGCCCCAGCTACTAAGGGAAGTCACACTCCACAAGGGGCGGGCCTGGCGCTTGCGTTCTGCGCAGTCGCAGGGTCTCGGAGGGATCCTGGAGACGCCAGTGCAGCGGCGAAGGCGGCAGGGGGCGTGGATTTCCAATATCCCCGTGGGATGGCGCCGAGTCCGCTTGGTGTTAAGGTTCTCGCCTTTTTTCTATTTTATTTTCATTATGGAGCCCTAGGACTGGCTTGAGAAAGCGGGCAAGATTAGGGACCTTTGCCTCCCTCGTAGAAATGGGCAAAGTGGGCCGGGCGCGGTGGCTCACACCCGCATTCTCAGCACTTCGGGAGGCCGAGGCGGGCGGATCACAAGGTCAAGAGATTGAGACCATCCTGACCGACATGGTGGACCACCTCCCCCCCCCCCCCCCCCCCCCCCCCCCGTCTCTACTAAAAAATACAAAAATTAGCTGGGTGTGGTGGCACGTGCCCGTAGTCCCAGCTATTCGGGAGGCTGAGGCAGGAGAATTTCTTGAACCTGGGAGGCAGAGGTTACGGTGAGCCGAGATCGCGCCAGTGCACTCCAGTCTGGCATCTGGTGACAGAGCATGCCTCTGTCTCAAAAAAAAAAGAAAAAAATATATGCTAATTGTAAATTAAGATCTGTCCATTCAAGAGAATTCTATGCAGTTGTTAAAAAGAGGTCGGTATGTAGCTGTAAATGTTTCTGAAGGAAATGCATCAGTCAGCAGGACACAGATGTATATTAAAAAGGATTTAACTAAAGACTATCTGGACAAGAAACTATTTACAGAAGTGTGGGCAGTGTAATGGGATGAACGATTCCCCTCCCCCAACACACACTGGGGGCATCCTGACCTCTGGAAGCTGTGAATGTGACTTTATTTGCAAAAAGGGTTGTATTAGTTTGTTTTCATGCTAAATAAAGACATACCCAAGACTGGGTAACTTATAAAGGAAAGAGATTTAATGCACTCACAGTTTCACATGGCTAGGGAGGCCTCACAATCATGGCAGAAGAGCAAGGGATGTCTCACGTGGCAGCAGGCAAAGACAGAATGAGAACCAAGTGAAAGGAGTTTCCTCTTAGAAAACCATCACATCTCATGAGACTTATTCACAACCACCAAAACAGTATGGGGGGAACCACCCCCATGATTCAATTATCTCCCACTGGGTCCCTCCCACAACAGGTGGGGATTATGGGAGCTACAATTCAAGATGAGATTTGGGTGGGGAGTCAGCCAAACCATATCAAGGGTCTTTGCAAATATGCTTAAAGATCTCAAAATGAGATCATCCTGAATTATCCTGGTAGACCCTAAATCCAATGACAAATGTCCTTTGAAAGGTTGCAGAGAACACCATCTGTAGGCAGAGGTAGAACCTGGAGTGATGCAGTCCTAAGTCAAGGAAGACCTGGAATCACCAGAAGCTGGAAGAAGTAAGGAAGGCTTCTCCCCTAGAAGTTTCAGAGGAAGCAAGGCCCTGCTGGTAGTTTGGGGCTTCTGACCTTCAGAACTGTGAGAATAACTTTGCATTGTGATGCCATCTAATTTGTGGTCATCTGAGACAGCAGCTGTAGAAAATGTATACAGGAAGGGTTAAGGAACCAACAAAGGATGGCCAAACCCCAGGGCCCAGCAACAGTGGGGGGCTATCACCACCCCTAGGGCTGAAGGGCAGAGCTGGGCATGTCATCCCTGGATCGCAGTGAGGCCAGGAGCCGTGGAAGAGGGACGTACTTTAAGGACTAGAGCTATAGAGAGATAGAGTGTGAAACCACAAGTGTGTGTGTGTGTGTGTGTGTTGGGGATAAATACCCTGTCCCCTCTTTCTCTTCCCAACTGCCGTTTCCTGCTGGAGCCTCCTCTTGGCCGAACCAACGGGAAGCTGGGGGCGTGATCGCAGGTGTTGCAGTGCACACAGTTTGCATCTAGGGCACAGAGCAGCATGGAGGAGCAGGCTCAGGGAATGGGAGACGGACGACTGGAGAAGAACCAGCACATGGGACAATCTCCAAGACACAGTTAAGTGAAAACCAGCGATATACTAAGTAATGTATTACCTATACTGTCACTTAGGTTAAAAAAAAAAGGGAGGGGGTGGAAGCGGATACATAGATGCTTGTCATGTTTGTTGGCCAGGGTACCTGTAAATTTCAAAATGAATTGTCTTGCAGCTCTGGAGTCTAGCACTTTGAGACGAAGGTGTTGGCAGCGCCGGTTCCTTCTGAGAGCCATGAGGGCCTGTGTCTCCCTCTCTGACTTCTCGTGGTGTGCTGGCTGTCTCTGACACACCTTGGCCTGTAGACACGTCGCCCCATCTCAGCCTTCATCTCCACGTGACAATCTGTGTGTGTGAGTTTGTGTCCAGACTTCCCCTTTTTGTAAAGACACTGGTCACATTGGATTAGAGCTCATCCTAATGACCTCATCTTAACATAGTTACCTCTGTAAAGACTCTATTTGCAAATAATGTCACTTTGTGAGGTATGACAGATTAAGACTCCAACACAGGAATTTGAAGGGACACTATATGTGTGTTACGTAAGCAAAGGTGATTTTGAAAGATACATGAGGAAGTGGTAACAGCAGTTGCTTGGGGAAGGGACCCGGGAAGTGGGTATTCAGGTGGATGGACATGTCCTTTACCTTAAGGAACCTTTTGAAATTTTGATATTTCATTATGAAAAAATTACCTATTATTTTTAATACATTCAAATATTAATCATGTATCAGCTACATCTGCATATATTTATACTTAACCGAAGGGTAAAGTCAACAAGCATGTATATTAACTGTGGCGATTTCTGAAGGATTACTTTGGAGGGGTGAAGTGGGAGACTAATAAATCTTTATATATTTGTTTTGGAATTTTTTTGTTTTGTTTTGAGATGGTAACTGGGATTACAGGCATGTACAACCAGGCCTGGCTAATTTTTTGTATTTTTAGTAGAGACGGAGTTTCTCCATGTTGGCCAGACTGGTTTCAAACTCCAGACCTCAAATGATCCACCTGCCTCGGCCCCCCAAAGTGCTGGGATTACAGACATGAGAGACTGTGCCCTGCCTGCTTTGTTTGTTTGGAGACAAGGTCATGCTCTGTGCCCAGGCTGGAGTGCAGTGGTGTGATCATGGCTTGCTGCTGCCTCAGCCTCCTGGGCACAAGTGATCCTCCTTCCTCAGCCTTCCAAGTAGCTGGGACTACACACATCTGTCACCACATGTAGCTAATTTAAAATTTTTTTTTTATAGAGACAGAGTCTGGCTTTGTTGCCAAGACTGGTCTCAAGTTTCTGGACTCAAGTGGTCCTCTTGCCTTGGCCACCCAAAGTGCTGGGATTACAGGTGCATGCCACCATGCCTAGCCTGTACATGTTTTAAATCAGAGATTGGCAAACTTTTTCTCAAAAAGCCAGAGAGCAAATATTTCAGGCTTTGTGGCTATGTGGTTTCTAATGCAACTGTTCCACCCTGCTGCCGTATTTTGAACACATCCAGAACTAACATGTGTGGCCGTGTTCCAATAAAACTTTATTTACAAAACCAGGAAGCCAGCCCATGAGCTGTAGTTTTAAGTTACAGGATTACGGGGTATATTGGCTTTCTAGGGCTTCTGTATCAAATTACCAGAAACTGGATGGCTTCAGACAACAGAAATGTATTGTCTTGCAGTTCTGGAAGCCAGGAATTTAAAATCAAGCTGTCAGCAGGACCATGGCCTCTCCAAAGGCTTGAGGGAGGAGGATCCTTTTTTGTCTCCTCCAGCTTCTGGTGGCAGTAGGGACGCTTTGGCTTGTGGCTGCATAGCTCCCATCTCTGCCTCTGTTTTCACATGACCTTCTTCACTATTGGTGTCTGAGTCAAAAGCACTTCCCTAGGCTTCTTCTTAGTAGGACACCTGCCATTGGGCTTAGGAACCACTCTAAATCCAGGTCAGTCCCATCTCAGGATCTTTAGCTAATGATATAGACCCCTTTTCCATAAAGAGTCACATTCACAGGTTTTGGGGATTAGGATGTAGGCATATCTTTTGGGGGGCTGCTATTTGGCCCATGAGATCTGCTTGCTTGGTAGTAGTTTACTCTGAAGATCAGATTTCACCCTCTCTCTGTCTTGTGTAGACTATCCATTCAATTAAAACACACATGCATGTAAAAATGTACCCTCAAGCCTGGAGTCGATGACTTATGGGTCACTGTGTTTCAAAGTCAACAGATATTTATTGTTATGTCTTTAATTGAATAATAACTGGAGGGTTGTTTCCTGCACACTGTGATATTTAACAGATATTTATTGATATGTGATATGAATTAAATGACAACTGGGGGGTTGTTTGCTGCACACGGTGACCCTGGTTAGGGTGGGCTGAGGCAGGCTTTATGAGGCAGCCCTGAGATATTAGCCTTTTACAAGAAGGCCAGTGTTGCCCAGCCAGTCCTGGTTTCATGTATTTACTATTTTCATGAACTGCCTTTATTAAAATGTACAACTCAATGTAGCCTGCCCTAAAAAAATTCACAAATCAGAAGGTCTTTCGAAGGTATTAAAAGAAAATGGAATGCCCGTTACAAATCCCCACATCCCAATTCTGGGTCCAGAAAATATGGTCGCCACATGTGGGGAAGAGGGACCATTCTCGGCCATATATTCCCCTGCATTTAATAAGCAGCCACGTTCTAACATTATTACTAGTCTTGCTGAACTCCAGCCTTCCTGTTTTGTCTCCTGCCTCCTTTTTTCTCCCAGCAGAACTAATTCAGGGGCACCAAGATGCCACCAGGCCAGGCTCTACAATTATACCTAGAGGTTTAAAAACCTTAGTGTCGTCTAAGCCAGCTCCATCCCTGGGCTTCATCAGGGTACTTCTTTGGGAGGCCAAGGTAGGAGGATCCCTTGATCCCAGGAATTCAAGGCTAGCCCTGGCAACATAGCAAGATCCCGTCTCTTCAAAAAAGTACAAAGATTAGTGAGGTGTGATGGTACACGCCTGTAGATCCAGCTGCTTGGGAGGCTGAGGTGGGAGGATCACCTGAGCCCAGAAAGTCAAGGCTGCAGTGACCTATAATTGTGCTACCACACTCCAGCCTGGGCAGCAGAAGGGGAGACCCTATCTCAAAAACAAAACAAAACAAAACAGAAACCCCCTAAAACAAAAAGCATAATTATATGTACTTGAGGGTGTGAGAGAGGTAGTGTCTGGTCCCTGAAGGAATTAACTTCCCAGCTGGAGAAAGGCCAGTAATTGGGAGGGATTCTAGAAGGTTCTAGAAGACAATGGAGAGAGGAGAGGAAAGCAAACTTGATTTCCTTCCTGTGTCAGTTGGTCCCAATGAGCGGGACCAATGGGCACCCAGGTGCTCTGGCTAGACACCTAGGGGTCGTCCTGAGCCCACCCCTCACTCTTCAGCCTGTGTCTAACCCATCAGCAAGTCCTACCAACTCCATTTCCCAAAAGATTTGCCGAACACATCATCTTTTCCCTGTCTCCCCTGCTATCAAGCTAGTCCAAGCTCTTATTGTATTCATTCCCTGTGGCTGCTGGAACAAATGGCTCCAAACTTAGTGGCTTAAAACCACGCACGTTGACGATCTGCAGTCTGGACGGTAGAAACACCAAAGCCGAGGTGGGGGGTGGAGCTGCTTCCCACGGAGGCTCCAGAGGAGAATGTTTCCCATAGCTCCCAGCTCCTCCCTCCATCCTCAGAGTTCTCTCTTTGACCCTCTCACCTGTGGTCACATCTCTTCGCTCCGCCCCTCCTGCTGCACCTCTGTCACACACCGAGCTCACCTGGATAATCCAAGGTCATCCCCTCATCTCAAGATCCTGAATGTATCACTTGAAAAAGTCCGTTTGCTGTAGAAGCCCATGTACTTATAGGTTCCAGGGATGAGGACGTGGACACCGTTGGAGGACGTTATTCAGCCCGCCAAAGCCATCCTCCCGCCATGTTATTCCAGCAGCGCCCTCATTGGTCCCCTTGTTCTGTCCTTTCCTTCTACAGTCTAGTTAAAACAAAAGCTAACCAGTGCCCCCAGGGGCTGACCAAAAGAAGAAGGTCTCACCTCAGTCTCTGACTTTGCTTCATCCCTTCCAGCCTCCCTGCTGGTCCCCTCCCCTTCCTGTAGTCTTCTGCCCCGAGACCTTTGCAATCTGCCATGTTCTCTGCCTGGACCACCTTTCCCCCTCCATGGCTCCACTCCCTCACTTCCCTCAGATCTCCCATCAAAGTTCATCTTCCCAGAAAAGCCTTCCCTGGCCACACTCTCTTAAAGGGCACCACCGACTCCATCCTACCCCATCCCTCTCATCCCCCTGTAGTCCATTTTTTCATAGTCTTGTTATGACCTGGCATTTCCTATTTTTTCTGTGCCTGATGTTGGTTTCCCGCAGTAGCAGCATTCTCCATGAAAGCAGAGATTGCATCTGATTTATGGACTGTCCCTGGCACCCAACCCTGTGCCCAGCCAGACCCTCTGAGGCAAGACTTTTGGTTTGAATTGTTTTCTGGCCCTGCATAGTACCCCTCAAAACTGTGAATGCCATCGGAAACAAGAGAAGTCTCAGAAACTGCCACAGCCAAAAGGAGCCTCAAGAATAACCAAATATGGGATGTTGGAACCGAAAAAGGACATTAGATACAAACAAAAAAAAATATCTGACTACAGCATAGACTTGAGGGATGCATCAGGCATCAGTATTGATTCATTAATCGGGACAGGCGTTCCAGAGTGATACTGACAATAAGGAAGCCTGGGTGCAGGGGACTCGGGAGCTCTGTAAGGTTTTCACAACTCTTCTGTAAATCTAAAACTATTCAGAAATTATATCTATCTATCTATCTATCTATATATATATATTTTTTTTTGTCGCCCAGGCTGGAGTGCAGTGGTGTGATCTCGGCTCACTGCAGCCTCCGCCTCCCGGGTTCAAGTGATTCTACTGCCTCAGCTGGGATTACAGGCACACGCCACCACGAGCAGCTGATTTTTGTATTTTTAGTAGAGGTGGCGGTTCATCATGTTGGCCAGGTTGGTCTTGAATGCCTGACCTCAAGTGATTCACCCACCTTGGTCTCCCAAATGCTGGGATTACAAGTGTGAGCCCCTGCACCTGGTCTATTAAATATCTCTTATATTTTGAAAATGAAAAAGGAAGGGTACAGTAATTCTGTATTTATAGACGTATGCTAATAGCCAAGGTATATTCCAAGTCACCAAGATAGCACACATCTGGACCTTGCTTTTTGTTAAGTGGTTTATTATTTATTATACTTTTATATTCCGGACTACATATGCAGATCATGCAGGTTTGTTACATAGGTATACATGTGCCATGGTGGTGGTTTGCCACATCCGTCGCCCTGTCATCTACATTAGTTATTTCGCCTAATGCTATCTCTCCCCAATCCCCCCACCAACTGCTATTCCTCCCCTAGCCCCCCACCCTCCAGTCCCCAGTGTGTGATGTTCCCCTCCCTGTATCCATGTGTTCTCATGGTTCAACACCCACTTATGAGAACATGCGGTGTTTGGTTTTCCGTTCTTGTGTCAGTTTGCTGAGAATGATGGTTTCCAGATTCATCCATGTCCCTGAAGAGGACGTGAACTCATTCTTTTTTATGGCTCATAGTATTCCATGGTGTATATGTGCCATATCTTCTTTATCCAGTCTATCATTGATGGGCATTTGGGTTGGTTCCAAGTCTTTGCTATTGTGGACAATGCCTCAATAAACATACATGTAAATGTGTCTTTATAGCAGAATGATTTATAATCCTTTGGGCATATGCCCAGTAATGAGATTGTTGGGTCAAATTGTATTTCTATTTCTAGATCCTTGAGGAATTGCCACACTGTCTTCCACAATGGTTGAACTAGTTTATACTCACACCAACAGTGTAAAAGTGTTCCTA